ACTTTCCGTATAATATTTAGCTCATTGAGTTTTTATAGAATATTTATTTGGGGGAAAATAAATTTGGTTCTTACTAGGACTCTGACTTGAATATTTTACACTATTAACAATGCATCTCTGTGTGTTGTATTGATCTCTGTCAGGATTTGATGTTGCTGTTTTCTAATAAATTTTACAAACGAGAGCTAATGTAGGAGGTAAAGTTTACCTCTAGCCTATTGGAATAAGTGTCAGCTGGAAAAATGGGGTAGGTGTTAGGAAAAGTGACATGATAATTCACCCAATAAATCATCGCACAGGAAGGGGCCATTATATATTAGGAATCCTTTTAAGTAATACTAAAATATTTGTGACTTAGAGAAGTCAATAGAGACTTTAATCAAAGGCCACTGTACAATTGAGGTAAATTGCTGATTCAATATATTCAGAATAAATTCATTCCCAGTACTTCAAAATTTACTCAGTCTCATCTTCTGATTCCCAGGAGCATGTTACTGTGTATCCCAAGGATAACAGGGAATCCAGTGGGCCTAATTCTGATTTCATTAATGTGGAAGTCAAGGTTCTTGTGCTCCTGCAAGCAAACTATGAGTCTGGCCCATCACATTTGTGGGCATCAGGTAATACAGGTATTTATCTGCAGGAAYTGAAGGGAGCAAAATAGTTCCACCACCAAAACTGCTAGATGAAGTGCACAGAATTATCGGATTTTTAAATTCTGTGCCTAATTTTGCATAACCTAGTGCTGTACTAACATCAGTAGAGATGCTCACAAGAGTGAGATTTTGAAGATCAGCTCTCTGGGCCCAGTGCTGAAGATAACACCTCCTTCCTCGCTCTGTGAACCGTGTGCTGAGAAGAGTCATTTTTTTGTCTCCTTATCTTTGCTTTCACTTTGACAGGAATAAAACACTGCGCTGTAAGCAAAATTTTCATTTGGGACTCAAAAGAAATCCTTTTCTTATTTTCAGTAGAGAAAACAAAACCAAAAAAAGAACCCAAGGAAAACACATATATAATTCATCAGAAATAATGCTGACTGCAAAATACTAAGTAATCTTCACGCAGTTTACACAGGATACGGGGAGATAAATGTGTTTTTCAGGAAAAGGAGGAAAAATAGAATGCTTATATATTGTATTTGAGGCAGTATATAATACATACCTATATACAAAGGAACATTCCACACACCTTCCTAGGCACGGACACCACTTATTGCCCCCTGTGCACTTTAGAAGGGAAAAACCATAGAAATGCTCCAAAGTCTAACATTGCTTAATAGTATAAACCCTTCATCCTCTAACAGATTGGAAGGGATTTGATATTCCAAATACTAGGAGTTCAGGGAGGAAGGAATTAATGGAGCAGAGAGCTCGTGTCTGCAGCGCCTTGCGACCCACCTCCAAACTGCGCCTGAAAGAAAGTTCAGTCGTCTCTTGAACTTGCACGTTTCGGGCTGAACAACTCGGACAGATGTTTAATCACTCCATGTTCACCAGGAAATGGCAACTCAATGGCCATAGGATTTAAAAGTGGCACTGTGAAATGGATGCCTTGCMTTACTGCTACATTGGCTTGCTCTTTTAAGAGCACAAGTAAGAGGAATTCAGCTTCATCTAACATGTTTTTATCACATAAATCTCAATCATCATAATTTTTTTTAATCATTAGGCACCCTTTTAACTTTTCAGGAGCAGAAAGGCCCAAAGCTGTAGTGGCAGTTAATGCAAATGATAAGAGATGAAAAGGGATCCACCAGCTTCTACAAAGGCAAGGGTTGAATAGGTAAAAGGTGACTAATCTYTGACTGAATCTGCAGCAATAATTATTAGGAAAATATTTAACCCAAAACAACACCAAAAAAATGCATGACCCCGAAACTTTTAGCACGTAATTCATCAAATGCCAGGTTGAAAACACCTCTTCAGAAGAAAAATTGCAATAAATCTGTAGTTGTTGGTTACAGCACGCTCAATATTGTGAAACATYTTCCTGAAAGAAAGATACAATGTGGTCTTGATAAGATTAGGGTGCATTTCAGCCAAACATACACATTATTCTTCATTTGTACTGTTTAGCAGTTTCCACGTTGTTCTTCAGAGCAAACAAAAGTAATGATTAACGGCGGCGCRGTGGGAAGCGCGCACCGCAACAATGCCGCTCTTGTGCGGCAGCAGCCCGCCTCCTCCATAGCACCAGCACAAACAGCTCTTCCGACAAGGAACCAGCATTTCTGAGATAAATCCTTCCTTTAACCGCCACACATAGTGTGGGACTGTCCTCAATGAGCCCGGCGGCCTCCCCGTGACGGCCCGGGCCAACAGCAGAGGGGCTGGTAGACCCATCTCGCACTTACCTCTATGTCTTGCATGGGCCGGAAGGTCTTCTGCACACGATGAGCTACGCTGGTGCAGGAGATTCTGCTGGCTAGCATGGTAGCTAACGGCCAGGACAGCCTCATGGACGGCTGGGACAGTGATTGTTTGTCTTGCAAGTTAAGGAAAACCCTAGGTAGTCCAAACAGCACGAGATGTGAGGTTATGGGTGACCCCAAGTTCTSACAGGCATCCCCCGCACCAGCAGCTTCTACCCTCACCCTCGAGTCCACCTTGCAACCAGTCTCGCCATCTCCACATTCCAGGCTTCACTAGGGACCAGTTTCCCTTATGTCTTCCCAGCTTCACCACCTTGCCCGCCTACAACACCTCCTGTTTTGTAGCTGCTGATGTTCACACAGTGATACTGCTTGCAAAGATCTCCACGCACTGAAGAACCTCAGAGTTTTTCATTGCTCATATACCTTTTAGAAGCAATCYGTAACAGGTCTCCTCTGTGTTTCCCTCTCCTTAAGAGATGGCTTCTTGCCATCTCTAAATACTTATTTTCTTTTTTACTCTCTCCTTCCTATGGGCTTTAGCTGGTGAACTTGCAGCACATGTGGAGCAGCAGGTTTCGGGAACCACTCAAGCTGCTGCTGGTTCTACGAGCCTTGCAGAACGGCAGGAAGGGACTATGTGCAAAAGGCTTTTTGCTGTAGTTTGGGTGCCCCATTCTGCTCTCACCGGGTAATGATGATACAGCCAAGCTCGGGAGTTAGGCTTGGACTGCAGGGCAGCTGCAGCTGGCACTGTCAGAAGCCAGGCCTGCGAAATGCAGCGTACTTTGAATTTGGCCCATGTTTTGGCAGGGAGTTTATCCCTGGGGTGATTTACAGTCCTCTCTTGAGCTAAAGAGTCACTTGGCTGAAATGGTTTTGTAGTCAAATACATGTTGTGGGCAGAGAAAGAGATTTTTTTAATACAGACTCAGCCTTGCTCTGTGATCTGAACAGAAATGAATTATCATGGGCACAGACAGCATGGGGACAGAGCAAGGCTGTGTTTGTGATAGCACTCGCTTTGCTCTGACTTAGCAATATATCCATCTAGAGTCCACACCTCTTCCTCTGCTCCATCTCTATTGCCCACGGATTCGTGGCTCAGGGAGAGGGGGGAATATCTGAGTGCACTTGTATTAACTGAGTGCAAGCAGAACAGCAATTACGATACAAGATTATCCTTAACGCTGCAAAGCCAAAGCATGTTCACATAACAGCAGTTCAGCCCCTTTGTGTCTATGTATGAGGATCTGTATTATAACACAATTGCAGACTGAAGATAGATTAGCACAGATAATACAACCATTAAATATAATAATAATATTTGCTGCACTTGATTTCACAAACTTGAAATGTTCTTTCAGATATAGTTTCCCTACTCCTTTTCTTTTTAAGAGCAAACTGAAAAAATAAATAGCAAATGATACCAACCTCTCAGCACTGACTTTGCGCTGGTCTGCTCACTTGCTCTACTGCTTCTCTTCTCGTTTCATTCCCTTACACAGTTCAAAGGAGAGAAATAATTTGGGAGAGAGGCTGAAGGGGCAAAAACTGAGACAAGAACAGCTAGGAGAGGGACTGTCCTGTGGGTAGGGAGATGGGAAGTTGGGATTAGCAAGGAGGGAGGCAGAAACTTGGAAATTTAAGCTGTTAAAATCTCAGTTTAAGGCAAATGACTAAAAACGGATAGGAAAACACTGGGCGACTTTCATAGATGGTGCTGCAAAAACCTATTACTATCAAATGTTATTGTTTTCTCTAAATGAGCACATCATACAGCCAGAAGAAAAAAGTTTGCAAGAATAAACCTCAAAAATTCATTAGATCATAGGTGATAWCATTTAAAAAGACCTATTGCACCATGCAATCCAGCTCACGCAAGGTTGCTGCCTATAATGTGGTTTCTTGGGCATTGCCAAATCTACTTCAAACTGACTGAACTTAGAACACTCAAATAACTATTTCAGTAGTTCTGTCTCTCTGAAATTTTAGGCAATTCTTCTGTTTAACTATTTTCTTTTTGAGTTTCCTTTTTTTTTCTTTCTCTCTTTTCTATAATAAAGATTTTAAATCTCTTCTGCAATTGCTAGATGTGCAGAACCAGAACCATCACTAGGCTGTTTACCTGACTTTTCACTTTATCCCTTTGCAAGAGGATTACTTCTGATTTGCCCCAGATGTGGCARCAGTGCTCTTGACACCTGCAAATCCTTCACCATTTCTAAAAATTAAGGTCCCTGGGTGAGAAATATTAAGATGTTCACATTAGCACATTAGTTTCTGCTATTATTGCTTCTGGATAAGAATAATACCCCATCCCATGAACATTTCATCAATATCTTATATAATCTATTATTATTACCCTGCAAAATAATGCCATAATTCTGCTTTCCTACAATGCAGCCAGCTGTAAATATTCCATGCATTTTATAGATAATGCTTTTGGCAGCAGCTTATTTATTTAGCTGAGAATAGCAATTTCGTGAACAAGGACTTTTCGATACCATTTCTTTTCCCATAACCTTAACCAGGCACTTGAAGACAGGGGTATGTGGCTGGTTTGTATGGGAGGAGGTAAGAACTGCTCCCACAGCAGTCACCCATATCTGTTCTTGCCTTGCAGGTTGATGACCAAATGAAGCTGCTTCAGAACTGCTGGAGTGAACTCCTAATCCTAGATCACATTTACCGGCAAGTGGTACATGGAAAAGAAGGTTCCATCCTCCTGGTTACTGGGCAACAAGTGAGTATGTGGGCTCAAAGTATTGATGGCTTCTTAATAATCGTTTTCAAAAGAGCAGAAGTTTAACTAGGTCAGAGGCACTGCTATGTCCTGAGAGATTCTCCACAAATAATGTAGGTARAATGACTTGTGCACTCTGTTCTTAGCCTGCTGATTACAGTTAAACTTCTAAAAGCAGATATAATCACAAGCTCTTTGCTTTTCAAATATTCCTGTATACTTCAGTGATTGAAAAGTAGGATATGAGAAGTGTTTCTCAAGAAGTTATATTTCCTTAGGGCTAAAATGGTTTCTGACAACAACAACAGAACTCCCAAACCCTGTGCTTTAGGTCTAAGCAATTATAGTTTATTTTCCCTTCAGAACTGTAGTTTACTCAGAAGAATCATTAGTTGGATCAGAAACCTAGATAACTTGCAGCTATTACCACAGAAATATCTTGCTCTTAGAGAAGTATGCATGTGAGAGAGAGGAAGCCACGAGCCAAGACTTCTAATCCCARGAAAATTATTCAGCCCACAGGATACAAATGCAGGTAACGCCCCAGGAGACACACTCTGCATTTTCTGCATTGCTTTCCAAGGGTTAATTTTCTCCAGGCGTCAGATGCATAGGTCACCCTAAACATAAGAGCAAAAATATGGCATATATCAGGAGAACTGTGAGAAATTCCAAATAAAAGAGAAAGCTTTGTCTCATTCGTTCTTTTCCAAAGCACAAATGACTTGACAATGAAAATGAGAACCTTATTCCTAAGACCCTTACTCTGTCTTTAATGAAAAAAACTTCACAGTATCAATGAGGAGTGTTCCTGGGCATTGTATTCCTGATTCAAAGTGAAAACAAATGATGGTCCATTGCTATTTAAGTAGTTGCAAACTCAGTTGTGTGACTATATACACACATGGGAAAGACTTTCTACTTCTAACTACTTAGATACATCACTTAAATCTTTATGTGCTGTAGAATTCCCATGAAGGTTTAGTCATTTCAAGACTGCAACAATTTCTCAACACTCAAAAGTGTTTATAAGAACCAGAAAAGAAAGAAAACTATCTGCCTGCATTTCTGGATAATAATTTCTGGATAATAATTTCTGGTGGCAGAGAGAATGGGTCCAGTCATCCAAGAATGGAAGTGAGGAAATTCCAATTCTAGCTGTGAAGCTGACTCCTGCACATCCCGTGGGAAGCCACTGACTTATCTGAGATAAAGTTTTTCTCCCTAATTACCTTAACTGAAATTAATTGTGGTACTGTTGATTTAGTCTGGAAGTGCTAAAAGAATCAGTGATCCCTTTTGTGTTTCATCACCTGCAAAACAAGGACAACTGTACTAGCAATTACTTCATTTACCACACAGGCTGCTTGACTGATTCCTTTGTTTGTAAAGCTCTGAGTATATTGAACATTCCCTGTGCCTAAAGAACTGCCAAGTTAATGTCTCATTTGTTTCGTGACCAGCTAGTTTTTAAAAAATCCTGAGTGTCTACATCCCTCTGAAATCGATTGACCTCTAAATATCTTTAAAAGCTGCCCATTGTCCTGATTTTTCAACTTACTACAGTGCCCAACTTTATCTTTACTTGGGAAAAACATATAGTTGCTGGACAACAGGTAGCAGATGCTTACTATTCTTTAAAAGCATATTCTTCAAAATGTTTAAAAATCAGTAGGTTGGTTTGACAATTTTATATTTCCAAGAAGAAATATAATCTCAAACTAAATTAAAACCTGACAAAATTGGACTGATTGCATCTGGTTTTGCCCCACGTTTGTCAAGTATGTTTAATACATCCTCCTTTCAACCAAATTTCGCTTCTTCCTATGTTCAGACCAGCTTGGGTCTTAGGAGGACCTTATGCAGCCAGGTCCTCCACGCTCCAGGTGGTGGGGAGCTGCTGTTAGGCCCCTTTGAAGGTTGTCCCTTCTCCAAGTTGAATGAACCACTTCCCTCTCCACGTATGGGAAATGCTGCAGCTCCTGAGTGTCTTGGTGACACTCTCTGCTGCCAGGGCACATTGCTGGCCCACTCTTGCTTGCTTTGTTGAGACCCTCAGGTCTTCTCTGAAGAGCTGCTCCCCAGCCAGACTGCCCCTGGGCAAGTCCAAGTCATTTGCCATCCTCTTCCAGATACAGCATGATCTATTAACCACGGATCTATCCCCAGCCATCCACCCACCTTTTTCCACTCACCTGCTTATCCACCCATCCAGACCATACCCCCGATGAGCTCCCAGAGGACTCACTCCAGTATTTTCTCAGGGACAACAGTGAGGCTCTCTGGCCTTTAGTTCCCCAAATCACCCTCACAGGCTTTTTCAKGGATCAGTGCGACATTTGCCTATCCATAGTCATTGGGGATGTTCCTCAGTCTCCATGAGCTTTCAGTGAGAGTGAGAAGCCTGGCAAGGGCACTGACAGTCCTCACAGCATCCGCTCTGATCCCACAGGCTTCCCCTGTGTCAGGTTCTCTCAAGTCATCCCTGGCTTTATCYTCACCCCCTGCTCATCACTGCCTGCCCTTGGGAACACGACTTGGGAGACGTCCTTTGTGAAGGACAAGGCAAAGACAACAGAGATTACCTCAGCCTGGCCTGTTTGCTGATGGTAAACCACCATCCCCGTTCAGCAACAGTGACACCTTCTCCTTGCTCATCCTCTAAACAGTAAGAACGTGGCAAAACTCCTTTCACTGCATTTGACATCTCTTGCAAGCCTCAACTCTTGCTGAACATTGGCTTTTTCGGCCTACCTGTGGGCAGTGCTCCCAACTCGCTCCTTCCGAGGCGTTCCCTGCTTCCCCCTGATCTATACTGCCGTTTTGCACTGCAGCTTGGTCAGGACTTACCTGCTCAGCCAAATCGATCTGAGGCATCTGCTTCCTCTCCCAGGGTTTTGGGTCCAACGYAAGAAGGTTGGACCTTCTTGGCTGCATCAGTTGAGTCCGTCATCTCTCTAAGACACAAAGGCAGTTCAAATGTATTTAGGAAGGAGGAATTATGCCTGTGTCTGTCTGCTCTCTATTGACTGCAAAATAATTCTGGAAATCCAGAGGTCTAGGCCGAGGTATTACCAGTGTTTGCTATTGCACTAAACGCTACAGGCTGCCGGGAGCTTCCCCGATCCTCTCAGCAACTCAGGTATGGAAAGAGAAACAACTCTATCTCTGTCTCATAAAAATTAATTGATTAAGGTTTGGAAAGCACTCTGAYACTTCTGATGAAAAGTGCTGTGGATGTTTTTATTTATTGCTACCAGCAAAGCACTATGAGTGAAATTACAGTCAATCATCTGGCTTTCGAAAACTGAGGGCCTGAGCTAGATAGCCTCCTTTATTACCTGAGAGATGATGATTATCATCACAAGTTAGCAAATTTAAGGCCTTAGAAGCCTTCTTCCTTGCTTTCCTTAATACATCCCTCCATAAAAGTTAYCCATAAACACCGGCCTTTTTACAGTCCTGGTCAAGGAAGAAGCCACAATTAGAAATAACTGCCTTTTCCTCTCCAAGTGCACGGCCTCTGCTCCGCAGAGAGGAAAGTCAAACTTCACCCAGCTCCCGTGGGGCCGCACCACTTCTGTTCCACACCAGCTGCCTAAAATGGGTTACTAAAAGCATCCCAAATAGTTTTCCAACACACAGGCTCAAATCCGTTTCCTCCAAGCACTCCCATCACATTGCCATGCTCCGTATTGCCCTCAAGCCCCTGGCTTATGAGTTTTTCCCAGTGTCAATCCACCCGCTTTGATGGGGAAAAAGTGCAGTCAGCAGCAAAGCAGCAAGCGCTGGCCCCCGCACACAAAGACAGCGCTTTATTTTATTTTGTTATTTGTTTGGTTGGAGTTTCATAAAAGCAGCTCCTTTGTGTGTATRTGTTTCAAGAAAGCACTTTTTTTCAAATCATTACGATTCCTCAGCAATTCCTGAGAAACAAGTTTCTCTCTATGCTGCACACTTCATTTTCTGCACTAAGTCTTGCCCCTCAGCAGCAGTAATTACCATTTCAAAAGGAAATAAAGTAGCACAAATGCATTTTACAACTCTCCAAATTTCATAATAGAAAGCGGCTAAGGAGTAATTTGCAAGGTAGTAGTTAATTGTAAATCACTGCCAATATGCTTTCCAYATGCCAGGTTTCATAGGCTTGGCATGTGGCATGTAATTTTAAAAGATCATTTCTAATTATAGGACTTCAATTCCTCCAGCCTGAGCACTTTCCTGTTGTATCTTCTGCACCAACAATATGCTGCTAGATTCCAAGGTCCAGAACACATAGGATAGATAATAAAGCCTAGTATGGAATACCATTTTTTTCATGAATTTTCTTGTAGCAGTCACACGTAACATATGAATTACAGCCTAAGCTGCTCATTTTGTTCATATCTATCCTCTGCTCATTGCTGTTGCCAAAGTCAGCTGCACCCTGCTGACTTTGGTCTAAGCTAAACAGATAAAAAGACTCTTCAAATATAGGCCTAAAACTCTATTTTTTGTTAGATAATTCAAACTACTGAATGATTTCAGCCATCACATAGTTATATCTTTCCCTTTGATTTGCATTCTAGTGCACCATCAAGAGTGTGAGGACCCAGATCTCATTAGTGTAGTATTTTCAAGCAAGTTCAAATTTGGAATTTAGTGGCTTGTTTCTAGTCTACGCAACTTTTTCAGCTGTATCATATTTAAAGAGGTCAATGTGCATCAACAGGGGATTTTCCTGTGGCAAAAATATCTCTGTTAGACTCACTCTTTGCAAAGAAGGYTTCTTCTGTCCCAGCTTAGCTGCACTGCCCTGGACCTGTGGAGAATCTGCTTGCACAGGGAGCCAATCTACAAGTGCAAGGAGATTGCCTTGCTGCCGAGCAGGTTTTKGGGGGGGCAGCTGGGCTTTCAAGTGGGGTGGCTGATGAGCACATCGAAAGGAAGATCACCTTGGCAGAAGTAGCACTGCAAAGAGAAAGGTGCCTGAGGCCACAAGAGCTGGCAGAGAAAGGACAAGCAAATTGGCTTTTCTTTCATCTCATAGGTGTGATAAGCTAAGAGATGGCTAATGGAAAGCTACTACTTGCTCCTTACCTTCTCAAGCATTCGTTATTTTATATTTATGTGTGTGTGCATGTGTGTATAATTAATCATCTCTTTACTCTGAAAAGAAAATAGTTTTCAAATGTCCAGGGAACCACAACAGAACTTAAAAAAAATTTACCATCTTTCACATAGACGTAAAGAAAACAGGTAGCAATCATGCTGGCTTCCTTTAGCAGCACACTGAAATACAGCACCTGACCAACAAGTGCCAAAAGAATCTATAGTAATGAAATGCTGCTGCTGTTTTGCTTTTTCATTAAGTTCGTGACTGCAGCYAGAGAAGGTTCAGAGTTGCAGAGAGCTACAGTCGATGTCAGCATTAGGGTGTCACGCTGCCCGACTGAGTCTAGCTAAATATTCACAAGAAAATTTCTTATGTGGGGTCTAACTTCCAATGAGGCTTACGGATATGCAGAAGCTGCAGCAATTCTGGATAATTTCTATGTAAAAAGCATGAAGTATACAGCAACACTTCAGTGAAGGGATGAATTCGGCTGCTCTGCAGTTGTAGGTTAGTTTGGTCCTGCCTGTTACTTTATTATCTTCACATTAATAATTTGAGAGACCTGATATTCATCATTACTGGAGTAGTAAATTTACTAATTAAAATAGCTATCTGCATGCAGCTTAACGATACTTTTATCACTGTGTGCTTTATCACGTAAATATAAATACCATAAATTAATATATAAATGGTCAAGCACAGGGCGTAAAATTATTCATGTCTTGATGTGCTAGTCATTTTGAAACTAAGTTAGACAAAGTAAATACAGCACTTGGGCATGATACTATTTGCATATTGTAACTAATTAGCAAGCACAATAGCCTCATCCTCAGGGAAAGGTCCACTGGCAACTTAATTCATTATCTTCTATTATTGTGTATCATGTTAAAATGACAAGCACCTTACACCATGTAAGTCATCACAATTTTAATTAATACATCCAGAGCTGATAAAAGCATACCTCCTGGTTTTTGTCCATGCTGAGCCCTCCTCAGTTTTTATACGTAGGCACCTCTTCAAAGCGCTCTTTTCCGTGTTCATTTGCTTAGAGAGAGAACACATATTGTTTTAAAAGCTCTTAATGAGAGTTTTACATGAAAAACTCGGAATGAGTTGAATATCCGGTGGAGTTGCCAGGAAAATATACATTCTCCTTCTGCCTTTGCGGGAGAAGCCCCTCTGCCCACACAGCCTGAGCCAGAGGCAGCTCCCCAGGGAGCCACGGACAGACCCTCCGGGGTATGATATTCCTTAATATATGATTATTCCTTAGAGAGGTGGTTCCTGGTGCAGCAGCAGGGAGTCCCTGAGAAAAGCCTCCTGCTGACATATTCCAGAAATTAAAAACAATTTGATTTTAGGGCACGAAGGGTTCCAACTCTGCCATGAAATTTCTGTAAATTTCTACATTTCGTGGGCGTAGAGAGCAGGAGACAATATCAGAGGTACCTGTGCCACCACCTGAACCCACCAGACATCTGCCTTCAAGAGCAGTCATTACTGTGAAACATCATAGGCAGAACAAAAGAGGTACAAGTGCTCCCTGCATCCCTGGCCTTCAGCTCCAGCATTCATTTAGCCCAGGATATAGTTTGTAAAAATATTAAGAAAAAAATAATTGATCTTTCGATCTGCCTCAGATAATATCTCACTATTCTAAGCGACTCCTTTATGGGAGAAAAACAACTACAGAATCAGTCACTTCCATCAGTCTTACAGCTCTGCTGACCAGCTAGGAAATTATCCAATATTATTATTATTTGAATTATTGATAGCTGCCTAAGCTGCCTAACTTCAAATATTTTACTACAATGTACTGTTTTCAAGTGAAGATTTCACACTCAGCACTAGCTTAACTTCACCTTCATTGACATTATTAGGATTTGGACTTTGAAATGTATGAAGCAAGTTTTGCCTTTATCGAGAGAAGGATTCAGAAAAAAACAGTATTTCAGTGCCCGCAGCTTGAGAACGGAGTCCAGGCTAGAGCCTTATTTATTTTTATGCTCTGTTTGGACAGGAGCTTTGACCTCAGGTTTGCCGTATCGCAGCCCCTGGGCTGCTGAATAATTCCCCGCTTTTGTGTGTTGGCCGGCTTAAGGAGATGAAACCCAGCCAGGCCGTAAATCTCTAACGGGCCGTGGCACAGACTGGCCACACTGGTTTATCACCACCACAATTCAGGTAGTTCCGAGCATCAAACTCCTCAAAGCATCAAAATCATCCGCACAGCGACACTCGCTCATTTGTGAGGCAGAAGTCATCCTTTTTTTCAGCTGTGGGTTTGGTTTTAGCGAGTGAAATTCACGGTGCGATATTAGATAGATGCTCTAATTTCAGTAGGCAACTGCTGCTGGAGATCCAGGCTGGTTTGAGGCTTTTTAAAGGCATTTTTTAATCACGAATGGAGGCAAAAGAATCCTGGCACCTTTTAGCAGCAGTTCCTGCGCACGGGACCAAGCAAGCAGGACAGCACCCTGTTTAACGTGGCCACTTTTTCCGAATAGGCATTAACTGAGGCTTTTTCATGCACAGTTGATTCTGTATAAACTGATTGACACCTTTGGGGGTCGTCTTTCCACTGACTCATAATTTTGCTCGCTCCTGAAAAAGGCTCCTCTACACCCACTATTCTCTAGTTAAAGCTGAAAATTCAACTCATCATATTTACACAATCAAAAAAAAATCCATTCCGCCTTGTTTTTAATTGCAAATCCTACTCGAGGGACCAATTCTCCTGCTTAGGAGGCAGCCCTGTGCCTTCTACTAGAGAACCAACTGCAGTCAATTATGGTAATGAAATGTCAATAAATATAAAAATTTAATACAGCCTGCTCTTGGTGAGTGGCAGATGAGGACTTGCCTCCCAGACAAATCTGCTGGTGCTGCAAAAATTAAATGCACCTGAAAGGGTAGCAGGGTGCCTGAGTTCTCCAGTACAGGGATGGTGGGAGATCCAGGCACCTTTTGGGTTTTTCCATTACACTATAATCGCTGCAGGAAGGCCAGGCATGTTCTTGACATCCCAACATCTTAACTTATTATCATGAAGTGAGGAGCATATTCCCCTCACAAACTGGAAGCTCCATGAGGGATTTTTGAGATTTATTTTTTTCTCCTAAACAAAGAATTGCAGTTACAAAAGGGAAATTAAGTCGTGAAGCAGCTGACTCTTGTATGTGAACAGCTTCTCAATAGGAAGCCATTAAATCATGTCATCGAGTTAAAATGCTCTTCCAATAAGAAAGTGTTAGGGAGGTGTTACTATTTTTTACTTATTTATGTAAGTATATATATTCTTACATATATAGAGACATATAAACCATAAATTAAGTAGTGAATGAAAGAAAGTATGGCTGGGAATCCTACGGACTGCCTCTTAGTTTTGTCACATGCTTTCCTTGGCCCTGAGTAAGCAATTTAATGTCACTGCTCTGGTTTTCCCAGGGGTAAAGGAGCGCGATGAAACCTCTCACGGAATACATAAGTGCAATTGCTAGATCTCATTAAAACATAAGCACAAACCTAAGTGCTCTGCAGAATTGGGGTAGCTTTATTCTTAATATTCACACAAAAATATAACTTCATTTTTCTTGCACAGTTGCCTCAGTCAATGGCTTGGGAGCACTAAGTGACATACAAATAAAGCATCTTATTTCAAGTCAGTAACCTATTGATTATATTAAGGTTATCACTAGGAGAATTCGTGTTAGTTCCTTTCAATTACTTACCTATATTTCCTGGTTGAAATGTTGACAGGTGTAAAGTCAATTTTTTTTTCCCCTTGTTTTACTCTTTTTCATGCTTGGGCAAAATCAGTTCAACACTTTTAAGATCAAAAAAAAGATGTTTCAAAATGCAATGTTCCCTAAGAATTATTTTTWAAAAATAGATTTTAAGAGATTAGTGACAGAAAAATAGAATTGTGCAGTATGCCTCTATCTCTCCTCTAGTGCTACCTGGACTGTCTTTATTAACTTCTTTATTGCGGGAGGCCGCGCAGAGCGGATTAGAGCAGCGCTACCTTTAAACACATCATTAASCCACAGAGCGCACTTAGCGCCGCGCTTGGGCTGCGCTTAGAGCCAGCACGGCTTCTGCAGGCACTTTATGGGGATATATGAGGTGTGGCTACCAACTCCCACACCGTTACGGAGGCTCCTGCAATGGAAGGGCGCTGCAAACCCCGGGCAGCCAGGCAAGGAGTAGACGTTTCTGGCCAAGTCCGTGGATCATTTCCCACGGACACTGTTATATCCCTGTGGGCTCAGCGCATATCCCTCTCCCAGCRTAGGCACCAAGGCCACTTCATCAGTCTCCCTCCGGCGGATCCTACATTTACAGARCAAGAGACACCGAGGGAATAAAGCAAACGGATACGGGACCCCACTACCGGTGCCGTGAGCTATAGTCATCTATAATCCTTCTAAAAAAAGCTGATGCAGACAACCAGCATTCCCACTGATGTGACAYGCCATTGACATACACGGCTGAATAAGGTTTTCCTCGTGTACAGTTGTGCTAAAACAGGTTGGCAGCCAAAATCATCCTGACTTGACGACATCATTAAAYTGAGAGGGATTATTCTAAGAGGGAGCATCCCAGTTATGTGGGGTCGCTTGAAACTTCCTAATAAAGTGATTCTGTGGGCCTGATAATCATACAGAAATGTAACTCTCTCCTGCAGGTGGATTATTCAGTCATAGCCTCTCAAGCTGGAGCCACCCTCAACAACCTCATGAGCCACGCGCAGGAACTGGTAGCAAAGCTGCGTTCCCTGCAGTTCGATCTACGGGAGTTTGTATGTCTCAAATTCTTGGTGCTGTTTAGTTTAGGTAGGTAAATTCTACTCTTCCTACGCTACTATTGATWTTGATGTTGTTCATCATAAAAATCCTTCGGTTTTATTATTTTTCTCATAAAAAACAAAGTATGACTTTGAAATATACTTTTTGATTTTTATCATAGTAATCCGAGCATTGTTTTTTAAATATCATTTGCATGAAAATCATGTAGCAGGGCTAAAAGCTGATTTCTATGGAAACAATTCCTAAAACCTAGGGAACTTATCAGAATGTTATATACTGTCTGTAGGTACTTTTYGAATATCCCAGGCCACAGATAAAATTCTATTATAAATTCTGTGGGGTGGTGGGAAAATATAGAACAGTGCTTCTTCTATGATATGCAGTGTAGGGACATGGGGCCGATGCAGATGGGACATGGGTAAATATACATTTTTAAAAAAACATATTTGAATGGTAAGTATAAATCATCTTTTTGGCATTCTGCTGCCACATTTCAACACAAACCAGGAAAGTAACTAGCAGTTTTTAATGAACTATAAGAGCCACCCTCGAAGTGCAAATTAATGGCAATAGCTTTGTGACTCGCTCTAGCTAGGAATAAATGGAGGTTTTTTGTGCTAGTGGAAATCACACAGAATTGAAAAGATACCTATGCAAGACAAATGAGTGAAGCCAGTACCTTCCGACGAATAAGTCCAGAAAAATTGCCAGAAAAACACTAGCAATAAAATAAAAGAGGATTAAGGAGATGGATTCCTAATGTTCCTATTCATAGGAACAATTTCTGCATTTTAACAATTTCATTTCTGCCTGTCTTCTGTTTTAGGTTTGCACTCTGTTGATTTAATAAAGCTGGTTTAAATAAGCTTTGGCCAAGTGAATTTTTATTTACTGGCTCACAGCTGAAAGAAGAGACCTAAAGTCCTAAATAAGATCAGATACAGCTACCCCTACATATCCAAAACTCCGTTTTTATTCAAAAGGTATTTTGTGTGCAGAGACCAATCTGTTGAGCCAAGAGCAGCAATGAATGAAATATCAGCAYTGGTGGCATACACTAAAGTTTTTCTCAAATTTTCAGTTTGAAAAATTCTTTGGTAAACRAATAAAATTCTACAAACATATTAGGATTTAATTAGGAATTAATTTAATTAATTAGGATATTCCAACCAAATAGGCATTCCAACTGAAAASAGTGAAATGCTTTAATTATACTATAAATTGTCAGTTACTGGCCTTAATGATGTCCTTGCATATAGGTTTTTAGAATTCTAATGGAATTAGAACCTGCTTTGGAAAACTTTGGAAAACTGAGTATACGTAGCATTAAAAAGAGAAAATCATTGGTATATGACATGTAGAACTAAATAAGAATTATTTAAAAAAAAAACCAAAATTAAGTCAAAAAATGACTTTAATGAACCATTTACATTCTGAATCCCAGGAAGGCAGGATGGATTTATCTGGTAACTATCAACCTTTTGCATTCAGAGATTTGCCTCATCTCATGTCTTCAATTCAGAAAAGGAAATGCAAACCATCTGTTGCAGAAATTGTAATGTTTTATGACTTAATTTGATGAAAAACAAGAATTCAGGTTTCCTAATTCCCAACAAGCAGGTTTTCCTGTCATGGGACAGTGGTACAGAAGTGTCTGAGGAGCCTTGTACACTTTTTTCTGACAAAATATTTAGAGACTTCCTRTCATTTTGGGGATATTTTAAATTAGCTGAATGAGGGAAGTGGTCTGGAAAATGCTCACATTTAGGTGGGCCTTGTCGTAGATGACTTTCTTCGACATACTTTCCATTCATTTGGGCACTTTTCTTGGTTCTTGCCCTACTTCTGCAAGGTGATGTGCTAAACTGCACAAGGAGTGGGCAAGTAGCTCTTTCAGGCTTGTGCCAAGCCAGCTCATCCCCTTCACATCTCATTGATGCCACTGTAAAGAGAGTGAATTCTGCTACTTATAGGAGCCTTGAGGTCAAGCCCCTTKCATACAGAAACAATGCAGCTAAGAAAGGTTCCATTCCTTTGAAATTAGTTCAATATTTAGCATACTGCATAACTCCATTTGCTAATAGCCAAAGCGAGACGTGACGCTGCAAAGAGCACAACGTAAAGACATTACCACTTGACCCGCAGAACTAAGGCTGATACTTAATGAGAATCATGACAAAACTGAGGCAAAAAGCTCAGCAACCCTTTCCAGCTAAGCACACAGGTTTGTTCCCAACCACACGAATGAACAGTCTGGCTTAAGTTACAGTGAGGGCTCACATCCTTCAGCTGTTTGGGAGTCAGGTTTTTAAAGACATGGAAGTGCCCAAGAACCTGGCAGGCACCCAACAGCATTGCCAAATCCAGCCAGGCATCCCACTCCTACTGAAATGCCTGGGAGCAACCACTGCACCCCAGCACCTAGGCGTGTGTGCTGCATATCCACAGCTGCCAGGCATCTCGGTGGGAAACTGGTCTAAAGGGCAAAAATACCTCATTGAATCAAAACAAATTTTTTCAAAAACCTGATCTGTCTCATATTGAAAATCTGGTCCTATAATGTTCAATGAAATAAAAAGCCTTTGAGGACATACCAAACTTTCTACACTTCTAAGGATATTAGTTCCACATTGTGAACCAAAAGCCTTATGCTATTATATAGTACATACTAWATACATATATATGTCTTATATGTCTTATATCTTATATAAAACCTCTTAAAGGCAATGTGAAGTCAATAACCCACAAAATTAATTTATTAAGAAAGCTGTCAGTTCTTTTATAACTGTGCAGCTACGAGGCTGCCTTCTATATCTGTTTGAAATTCAGGGCTCTACTATATAGTCTGTATATCACAAAATTGCAATCTCCTTGAGGGTAAAGAACTGTCTTCATCTTTTTCCTAACATTTCAAAAGGGATTAGCCTAATAAACTAAGAATAAAATAATGTTCAAAACCCAAAACACGTACAAATATTTAAAAATATATAATTATATCCTGTCAATCTTGCTTACTATAAAAATATAGCAAACATATTTCTATATATAGCAATATATATCCGTTATTTAAAAAAAAAAAAAAAAAAAAAAAAAGAGCTAAATTTTTATGTTTTTTACTCATCAGAGATTCCAAAGGGTATGTACAAGAAGACCCTTTTGAGTGTTAGTAGCATTAGAGGCTGCTGAAGTTGCCTTTATGGCTGGCAGGACACAGCTCTTTCTGCAGTCACACCAACCAGTGAGTGATGCCACCCAGGCACATGCGTTCAGCTCCTTTTTCCAGGGGTGCCTCGTCCCTCTGGGCCCATCTCACCAACATTGCCAAGTAGATAATGATGCAGCCCATTCGGCAATTATTGGGTAAGACAGAATACTTTGGTAACTAATTTCTTAGTGTGACATTTCCTTATTTTTTTTTCTTTCTAGTATTAATATATTTAGAATTAAGTAACTTCTAAATTTCCTTCTACAGTTATGAAAAGCTCAAGTTCTTTAAACCCAGGTAGTTCTTACCTCTCTGTACATAAGTGAGTCCCCTTTCATGACAGCAGATCTTCATAGCTCAGTGACCGCATGTCTGTCCACCCTAAGTGCTTCCTCATCCATCAGCATGGTCCTAGTCATCCAGTGATGAGCAGGTCCATCATATCCGGACTCTCATTCTCAGCAGAAAGTCACTTCAGCTGAGTCAGTCCTTTGCTCCGGTGCTCCTGCAGGGTGAGAGCCAACAGGGAACAAATCAGTGCTTACAAGCAGCACCATCATCCCCATCACACTGGGGACAAACCATTTGAGCCTTGCTGAGGCACGGCTCTATTTTAGGYTCGCAAGGGACAAGGGCCTTGCCTCAGCATGGCATTAAGTCATTGGCAGAGCTCCCCTCCTTCACAACCTCGTTGCACCATCATCACTTGATCAGTTATTCCATCAAGACATTRCTGATTTGGGCTAAACTTGAATTTTCTCACATTGCTCTGATAGCCATCCACTTGTGTGATGTGCAGAGCCACACTAGAGCCRTACTAATCCAGCAGGATTCTTCTAGGCTCCTAGGCTCCCCTGAAGGAGCCTCCAGCTCTGTAACCTCTTCACTGCACACAGATGTGCTGCTTGCCGCTCTCAGGACACATCAGAACAACATTATGTGGAGCAGCCATCCTGACCCACACCGGGAACCACAGACCAGCAAATATCAACAGGGCCTGTGATGGTGCAAATAGCTGGGCATGCTCTTCCAGGGTGAAATCTTGGCCTCACTAAAGCCAAAAGGGGTTTTACTCTAACCAAAATCTGTCTCTCCACTTCTTTCATTCTTATCCTACCACAAAATAATGCTCAGCTCAACATTTCATGAATTAAATTTGCTAAATATCTAATTTTAAATGATGTTTGAAGAAGCAAATGAGCGTCTTATAYGGTATATTTTCTAGGACCTGCAGATACAACAGATCTCTCTTCATTTTGTCATCCAGTATCTTTCCAGGCTGGTCGCTTAACCTGAAATCAGCTGYTCTCTCTTTACCAAAACTTCCCATTTGTCCTGCCAGTTTTTATTATCTGAATTCAGCAAGGATGATTTGTCAAAGCTCCCATCAGAGCAGTCTGTAAAGCGAGATGCCAATAGGAGGAAAGTTAGACATCATTTGACCCATGCCGCGGTCCTTGTCCGCCCGCTGAGCGCAACGCGGCCACAGGCAGCGGCTCYCCTGCCACTGTCAGCGCCCAGATAAACGTGCTGCATTTAACAAACGAAGGCTTTATCAATGGGCAAATAATTGCAGAGCCACTATTGATCTCCGAGCTCACGTACCACGAGGCAAGAGAGACCTGTAGGAATGGCAAACACGTCACCGCTGCGTGGGGGCAAACAAGGGGCTCCCGCTTGGACAAAAACAGGGGTGTCCTTTTCTGGCAAACCACAGAATTGCTCGCTTAAGGTGACAGCCACAGTCCTCTAATGAGGCGAAATGTCCATGCTCTTTTCTTTGATTAGTCACCCCTTGCTTTCAGCTCTGTCACCTCAGAGC